TCTAAATGCAAATTTTATATATAAAACTACATAACATACTTTGCTTGTTTTAAAAAATCTAAATTCTCGAAATAATGTCGTGTACTTGTTATTGACAAAAATACCTCGACCCAACGAAATTGACCGTTGTTAGTTTCCTTGGGAAGACTCGATCTCAACTCCATTTCAAGTAAATATTATACGACCGAACGTGAGAAATCTTTATTGCTGAAAACAAGTAAGTTGTATCTCGCAGTATGCAACTTATATCCGCGACGAAAAATCCAATTTCGTGAAACGTACTCACGAATTCTATCTTCAAAACTAACAGATAAACTGCTTATAGGCATGTTTGGGCTCGCGACAAAGCAACAAGGATCACAATTCATGTACACACGATAAAATTCGATTTCGAAACGTGCACGGAATTTCAAATTTCATAGATAAAAATAATAAAATCAGCCCACACGTGTTGAGTCATAAAACTTTATCAAGGGACAAGATAACCCTCCAGAAAAATGATTATCTTATTTAAAATTGATAAAACCGAGTTGGATTTAAGATCTCACGTTCGGAGCAAACATTGATTTTTGCGCATAAACGAACTTGGTCCCATAAGTATGATCACCAATAGATAATCCATCAAATAAAAATCGTAACACTATTAATTAATCTGTAAAATAACTAAATTTTAAATTTAGTTATTAAGTAAATCTCATATTGTTATAAATTATTCTCGTAACACAAGATCATTGGTCTAGTCAATCTAGCCACAGAATTGTTCAAAATTTCTTTTTCACATAATCGTTTAGTAAATTCTTTATACATATGAATTAAGGCCAGCAAAATATTGATATAACTACCTCGTCGCATTGATACTCCAAAGAGGTAGCTCGCGAGAGAACAGAATCGAAAAAATGCCGAGAATCATTTCCGCTCGCCGACATCAGAGATGCATATTTGACCAGCGGAGAAAAGAGAGGGACGAGAATTGGTCACGTAATAAACGCGAAGAAAGAGATCCGCGGTACCAAGGCGAGCTTGACCTTCACCCGATCTACATGGTACCGCCTACTTTCCTCCTTTTGCTTCTCGGTGGGCCCCCGCGGGACATGTCCCGAGCCTGTTTCACGGTGCCTCTCGCGTAATAGCGCGAGCGTGGCTTCCGTTGATATTCGATAACCGGGCGGCTTTAATGCCACAGTTCTGCGATTACGTCTTGGCCGAGATTGCGACGGTCGAACATCAAGCATATTAGTTTTCTGACTAGCGATGCGAATTTCTTGCAAAGCTCTGAAACGCGTGAGCGAGAAAACTGTCACCATATCTGCGCCTGACGTTTGGATTTCATATATTAAATGTAAGATAAAAATTCAAGAAATGGATGAAGCAGTCCATTTAAACGCCCATCAAATCCATTTTTCTTTCTACCTACTGAAATTGTTCTACAACAATTGAGAGAGTTTATTGAAGTTATTGAAGAGAATTTAAAAATCTCTAAAAAAAATTAACTTATCAAAATTAATTTTTATATTCGATTTAAATCATTGAAAACAAATATATATATATATATATAAAGAATTTGTTTGGTAAACAAATATTTTTATGTGAAATGTGGATAGTTTGTATTTTCAAGGCTTAGAGGTAGATATCTATTTATGTGAAATTAACAATTTAATAAATCACGAATAATTTCTGCGCGCATATAAATATTTTTATACTTCATTTTCAAGGATTTAAATATAATAGCTTAATTTATACACGTCCGTACGTTGCAAATTCATAAATGATATCTACCTTTTGTTTTTTCTGCTTATATTATAGATCTATCAAGATCAATAGTTGAGTAAATGAATAAAACGATTTTCCTGTAGAAAAAGATTGTCTCTGTAAATCTGTGCTTTTTACGGGACACGTCTGTGCATTTATGTGCTGCATACATATATTCATCGGCACGTCTTACTTTCGCGATATAACAATTGTATGTTGGACAGCATAATGACATCATCGATGATATATTCAATTACGTCACTACCAGTCGAATATCTTGCTCAAGGATGCAACAAATTGTAATGATGCCGTCGAGTAATCATCAATCTTCCAATTCAAATATGAGACCTTAAAATTGTACGATGTTGTCACTTCTCAAATGAGCAATTTTCTTATTTCACAATGCTCGATGCTTTATACAAATAAAAAATAAGGGTTGCTTTACAATTGAAATATCAATCAACACTTTTTCCTAGATTCTTCTCCGCTAACAAGTGGTTAGAGATGTACACGTGGCCGAACTCTAAATATTGCAGACTCGACAAATACATATAAAATGACTATACGGATTTCATTGAAAATTTTGAAAATCTAGTCTTCTCTCTTATACATTTTCAATATCCAATTTTAGATCTTTTTTTTATTCCAGTCTTATAAATTAAAATTTCGTTGAATAAAGTTAATTGAAATAAAATCCATCTTGTTTAAATAAAATTATCTTGCTTGCATTTCTAAGGCTAAAATTTAAGGCTAAGGCAAAACAACCAAATAATTAGACTTAAAAAAATAACGCTGTTGCGATGTTTTTGTATAAAAAAAAATTGTTCTGCATTCCTTAAAAGGAATGAATAGAACAGGTATGTGTGAGGAAGCTGACACATGCCTCGAGTGCCATCGATTTAATTGCGTGATGAAAATTGCGTCATATTAGCGCAAAAGATTTTTAATTTTATTTTTATAAATAGACTAACGGGATTTTATAAATAGACTAACGGGATTACGATGACGTAATGTTAGTTTGTTCACCCACGAAAAGTACGTGAACAGCATTATCCCATCGCTACTCTCTGGTTTCCCGGGGTAGCCCGGGAGCGAGCGTCATCGATCCACAACCCTCTCGCCATGCTCTACAATCGCTTTTATTTCGCTCGATGCATCCGTGCTCTAAAACAGTTGATCCCGAATTCGACCGCAGAAAACGCAAAATTATTTCACACATTGTTATATCCCGCTGCGTATACCTTTCAAGCGGTGATAAAGAAATATTTTACCATGAGATTTTGCTGTATGTTGACAAAATTTTTTGTTCTCTAAAATTGACATTGACATTGAAAGAAGTTGAAATCTGTCTCTAAAGCAGCGAAATTAAATGATATATTGATTGAAGAGTAACTACATAAAATTTTTTTCTCAATCATTTTTAATCACGATCGAACATTGATCTTATCTCTGCCATCGATATCACAACTATTCTCTTTACGCGTTATCAATCAGTTAGATCTGTATCATCGATCTCTACGCATAACGCTACGAAACGCGCGATTAAACTATTCGATGACACGTGTCCTTTTTTACTGACTAATCATTCTTCATATAGCTTTCGGCTTTTTTTATCGTGCACAAACAAGCACATATTTGAAATTGATATTACATTTCGCTTAGCAGTTGTGTTCGTTTCAACTCACTTAAATAAAAATAAAATTGTATTCTGTATTTATAATGTGGTTACAGTAAGCTTCGTAATGCACGCGAAAGATCGTATCGCGATTTAAAAAATTAAATTATTCTGCGAGAATGTATAATCGAAGATTACTGAAGCGTTCTCTTTGAGATTTCTCTCGGAGATCATGCATAATGCACCGCGTGTAATTTATTTTCTCCCAGAATAAACATTTCAAACATGGCCTCTTTCTTTCACACGTTTTCTACTACTAAATCTATTAATTTTCTACAAATAGTGGATAATTATATTTGCTTTTACCTTTGTCATTTAAGCGTCACAGTTTAGGATTATTTCTATCAGTTTTTAGTTGTATCGATTGAAATAATTGTAATATATTGATTGAAATAATATTTTTCGATTGCAAGTGAAAAGCGAGCTGTATTACTAAATTAAAATAAATAGATGACACAAATTAAAATTGATGTTCCATTATTAATAAATCTGTCAAAATAATATGTACTAAAAAAACGGTTTATAATCATTTTATTAAATGGCAATTTGGAGCTATGTTTTTCATGAATAAATAATACTCGCTCAACATAATTTCGTTTGTGTTATAATGCGCGAAAAACGGATAAGAAATTAGCATTTTCCTGTGCTGTTTACATCTATAACGTATTGCTTGTGTGTGTAAAATAAACTCAAAGTAAAATCGGCACGTTTAAATTTTAATTTTACTCCGAGTATAATTTTACGTATTATTTCGATCAATTTTTACTCATAATTATTTTCACACAATTCTCCTCAAATTCTTAAAAAATAAACTATGAATTCCTGACATGCAAAAATCTACGGATCGATAAATTCAATCTACGCAGAATCCGTGAAACGACGCAGACTCTGTTCACGTCACTCGCAGTAATCGTAACCACCACGTGGTGGTGTAACGACTGGTGTAACATATCGAAAGACTCGTAATCTAAAAATATGAGTAGCACAATAAAAAAAAATCGGTAAATCAGCCGTAAATTGGAAATCACTCGTTAGAATAAAATTCGAATATCACATAAATAAATATATTATTGCCTGTAAACATCTGTTTCTGTGAATTACTGATCGACGTCAAAGTTGAATACGTCATGTTCTTATAGTTTAGCAAATTAATATTTCTATCGACAATCTAATGATTGTTTCATAGAATAATTATTTTATCCGAACATGGAAAATAACGTGGAAAATAGTGCCAATTATTATTTTTCAAAAATTACCCTCTTTCTCTTTAATAAAAAAGAGCATTAGCAAATTACTTACGGCATTGTAATTGTCCCAATTTCATTTATTGTCTCAATTTTCATTTGCACATGTCATTTAGAACAATTACGGGGATACGACGTGGTCATTTCTTAAATTAATCATTTTTCTCCGCTACTAAATATAATGCATAAAAAAATGTATCGGCATTCTATCGCATTATTCACGATCAATCAGTTGGATTCTTCCTAGCCTTCCTGTCTTCCTACGAAGACAGGACGAATCTATTCTGCGACGCGCGTGCAGGATTCAGTACGCGCACATGGGGATTACTCACCGATATTGACAATCCTGATGCCCTCGTCCTCCAGAAACTTAAGCGCGACGGACACGTTCTCCAGCTTCTGCGAGCGGAAGGTGGGCCGCATGTTGTGTCTCGGCAGCCGCTTCTGCGAGAGCACCTCGATCAGGCTCACCAGCCGGAGACCGTCGGACAGGTCGCATTCCAGGTCGCCGATGTGCTTGTTCGCCGCCTTCAGCCGCTCGTTCGCCCATCGCGTGAAGGTGTTCTGTTGAATTCGCTTCCACTGCGCGTCCTCGGCCAGCTCGCGCTCGAACATCTCGTCCTCCTCCTCCTCGGCGGAGTTCTCGCACTTAACTGACTTATCATTCTCATTCATTTTATCGGCTGGTCCGCTGCTACGCTCTCACGTACAAGGGTGGTGGGGTGCGCGCCCCTGTGTTAGTGCCTGAGGATCACAATGTTGGTGGTTACGAGTGCCGTAGGTGACGAGGATGAGATGCGGCTGTGTTGGTGACTCGAGAAGTAGCGATGGGCACAAACTGTTTGGCTCGGAATTTTAAAGCGAGCTTCGCTCCAACCGCATGAACGTCTGCTGCCGTGTGTCAACTCAGAATTGACTTATTTGTTGATATATCAGCTGACCTTCGGATCCCACAGGTAAATTTAATTTACGTCTTCGAAATTTATTCGGATTCCGCAGTGAATATTCAAACGCGAAATTTCACTAAACTGTTTAATTAATTTAATTTAAATTTAAATTCAAAAACAATATAAATTTATTTTATATATTTTTTGAAAATTGAAATAAATAAAATTTATAACGAAACTGCTGGTTTAACAATAAAAGTCCATTTGTTGTTACAAATTATTAATGGTTTATATGTCATATAAAAACATTGTTTCAATCGCTTACCAAACAAAATTCTAAACAAAACTATTTAATATTATTTCATATAAGTGATTAATTCAATTAAATTATAAAGAGCAATTTTAATTGAGAGTTCTTCGATTTCATTTATACGTTTTTTACCGTTATCCATTGTTTTTTTTCATTTATTCATTTTTCCATTTGTGTCTATTTGACAATTGGCAAACGAATGTCGATGTCGCTCGGAGGCGCATCGTGTCCATCACTAGCACGAGCACGCACACCTGCGCAGCCGGCAGTAGAAGAGGTGGACGTCGGTGAACCTACCTGCACGGCCGTACGTATGCTGGCGAATCGAACGCACCTTCCTCAGTATGGGTGCGTGCGTGTATGCGCGTATGTGTGATGGGATGCTGACGCGAGATCAGCTGGAGCGGCTCCGTTTCCACGGGATCCGCTGACAAGCCGACGAGTTCTGCGTTCACCAGCGGAGATCGCAGAACTTCGGTTCCACTCAGGATATGTTAGTTGAGAGAGGCTTTCCTTGATAGCGGTGCGTCGTCTCCTTGAAACGCCTCCTTGGAGCGCCTTTTCAGGATAGTCGCTCGTCCTGATTCGCAGCGACGATTCACCTGCATCGCAAAAATGTCGTGATTAAGAGATTTGCCGGCAAATGAAATCGATCGAAGGGTGACATGAGACGCCTCGTATGCCGTACGGTGTAAAATAAAGTTGAAATCAATAATTAATTCCTACAGTATATGTCTAGTAATTTATAACAAAAAACTGTAAAAAAAAATATCTTTACATTACACTTTTCACTAATAAAATTTTCTGTTTTTTTAAACGCAGTTGATTAAATCAACCTTACGCGAAGGTGCACGGAATCGATCAGTTTCGCTTGAGTGAAGATTCGCGCACGTGTCCGACTAAACTGTCCAGCCTCTACACGATTTACGCGTTTGGCCTATCCAGAAATAAAGTAGCTAATTATAAATAGCAACACATTCCGAGGAAATGGCTCGCGTGTGTCTTTTTTGTTTATGCTCTTCTATATTCATTATCAGTTTATTTCAATATAATTCTTACTGAAACGGCATTTAGATCTCGACGAATGAGGCAAGAGAAAAAATATATCTCAGCTTATTAAGGTGTCCATTTATGAGAAGTAAATCCGCTTTTAAAGTTATATCATCGTCTTTTGTAAGACCCGTCGAATTTTCCGCGCATAATAGAAAATTAATCGGACGCACGTTAAATTACAAATCGCGGCGCACGGCGAGAGATGCCAAGTTATTTTTGGTACACGCACGTATACGTGACTTTTTTCCAAGGTCTGATATTACATCCGAAAGATGAACTTTATAAGCGCGCGAACATTGTTGTGTGCGAACACTGAATAGATAACATGATCGAAGTTATCTTTTTACTCAGAGGTAGTTTAGATTACGTTGCATCAAAATACATTTGCGTATAACTTAATAATAAATTCGATATAACATATAGCGTAAAATTACATATCGCGACTTAACATCTCGGCGTAAATGCAATAAGAAATGCTTGATCTCCTGCACATAAGTGAAAAATTTTTGCGATATAAGAATCATGTTTTTAATCAACTGGTTCTCCGATTTCTTATATTTAAAAAATATTATTATATTTATTTCACTATCATGAAATAATATAAATATAATATTGTCAACGGAATTCATGACGATACGTATGTAGTATATATTTTTATGATATATATTATTAGCTATAATTATCTGTGAAAGTTATCACGAGATGACGCGATGATGTTAAAATACGATTTTTTTATCGCGGCACTCCAAAGTCAAGAAGATTCGAAATGCCACTTCACTTGAATATAGATCAAGCTGTCGTCAAATTTAAAAATTTTTATATCTGTTCCTTCACACAAAATTATTCGCATTTTCTCGAAGCAAATTATACAAATAATATACAAATAAATAAATAAAAATCATCATGGATGATCCCACATTTTTTTTAATAAAAGTAAGTTTTTTTAAATAAAAGTAAAATTACATTATCAAATCTATATTACGATCAGTAGAATACTAATTCGAGATATTTTCCAATACATAAATTAATTTCAAAGATATTGTTTTAATAACAATTAAAATAATTGAGAGAAAGAATATATTGTATCATATTATCCATAATAAACTCCGTTTCCTTTATTATATTTACAAACTTTTCAATTTACTTTGCACAATCAACGAGAAGTCAATTATTTAAATATAGAAAGCGTACGTGTATAAATTCGCGAAAATAATACAAAATTTACAGAATACTAAATGGTGGCACTCAATACATTTTTCGATAAATTCTCGATATTCGGAAATAAAATAATCATGTCACACACAAACACGAAAGAATTATTTATTTCGTACTGATCGACTGACTCTCTATCAGCGGTCCACGAAAAACTGTCGGCGAGGAGTCGCGCGTCTCTACGCAGATCTCCCTCATTTCATTTAAAACTCTCTCCGCACTTCTCCCCGCACGAAAGCGCGAGGTACCACCAGCGAATCGCGAATTGCAAATTGCGACGAACGAATCGCGGGCGAGTCGCGGACGGATCGCTGAGTGAAGCGCAAGGCAGTCGCGAGGGCAAGGCATTTACGCGCGTAAACCTGCTCCGCAGTTATACGATTTTACTATGAAAACATCAGAAAATTATGAGAATTTGGATTCTCCCGATAAAGAAAACACTTTTCTACGTGAGGTAACATGATTACTTTGGCTGGGGTAAATCGAGAAAAGCAATCAACCCTAAAAGGCACATTTATCATTTAAGAACTATTTCTTTCATATCCGTACGTAACTCACATCACGTAAGAAAGCATTTGCGTGTAATCATTAGTCTTCAAGCATTTCTAAGTTTGCTATCTCTGCAGGCATTTCTAAATTCGCATAAATCAATCTCATCAAACTCGGCATCTTCTCTTTGAGGCAAAGTATCGATCTATCAAAGGAACATGTGCTTTTCACTCCCTCAAATTCCTCTACTATTTGCATTGGTGATACATTTAATTAAACATTAAATATATTGACATGCATTAGTATATTAGGCCGATTAAGCCAATATAAAGTCAATATTATCAGTTATAAATGAAATGTCAATGAACTTTACACCCTACTGCAGTGCATCTACATATTTTACAAATGCGAATTAATATTCGGAACCAATTTCCGAACGATATTTGCCTCAGTAATTTGTGCTATTAGGATATAATCGATACTTAATTCAAATCAAATGTTTAGCCAGTAGGTTGAAGGAAAACTCTTCGAGCTATTAGGAACCCAGCGAGGTGTTACTGCCATTAACAATGAGGTCAAGTTACACCGATAAACTTGAAATTAAATATGAGTTATATGATCGCCCGTCTCTCTTCAGATCGCAATACTCTATAGCGATAATATGCATCAAATATGATATCGTTACAATGACGAATATCGTGACGAATTTGTCATTATAACGATATTATATTTGATGCATATTATCGCTAGAGTATTGAGATCTGAAGAGAGACGGGCGATCATGTAATCATATTTATCATATTAAGTTTATCGGTGATTAGAAAAGAATTCTTCCTAATAAAAGTTCACCATGCGTATTTCACTTGTATAGTTAAAGAAATCTCAAGCGTTAAATTTTAAGAGTACGAACAGATAACGAAATCTTTTTCTACAGTTGAAATTTAGCGCGCATTTTATTTTAACGAAGTTTATTTTAGCAATTGAATATCACTGTATCGAAACGTGAAAATCCATGAGAAATAATGATCTCGCGCAAATACATTTATACAGTACGACGGAGCATTCCGCCTAAAGATAAAATGATCGATTTTCTCCAATATCTTGGAACGAGAACAACCGACCGGTCGTTTTTTAAACATTATCGCGGAAGGAAAGATAAAGATAAATTTCAACGTTTCTGTCTTTTTTTACTTTCTGTCGTTCGTTCCTCGTTCAAAATTTTAATCGCGATCGTGGAACAACAATCGAAACTCGAACGCAGCCGGCGCGGATCTTACATGCACACGGAGGGGAGGGGGGAGGCGACGATCTCTCTGGATCGGATCGAGAAGCGGACGCCTCTCGATCGGCACGGCGCGGTTCGCAGGCGATTACTGACGTTTACGCCGTCCGCGAACCGGGAGTCGAACGCACGTTCGAAAGAAGTTACTCGGATCCGTAAAGTTGATCCGAGAATAGTACGTGCTCCCTCGCCGCCCCCTTGGGGCCGAGGGGCAGGGGGCCGGTCTATATATATATCGCACACGCATATATCGGGGGGAAGAAAAGGGGGGCCTCCCCGGTCCCTCCGCCGCCACCGCCGCCGCCCACTCTCATCCCTCCGCGAGAAGACGCAGACGCGTGCGAGAAGGATCGGGTTTAAATTCGTACACGAGAGAGAAACAAAACGAAACGAGTCGCGGTTTCCCGCGGGGTTGGCCTGACACTGAAGGGAAAACTAAGACGTCCAAGACGGTCATTGTTGACGCGCCACGCGATACGTATTATATAGTTCTTTCGTCACTCGGAGGAAATCCTCCCCTCCCTATTATGCGATAGCGGTTTTATAGCGGTCGCCACCGAGTTTCTTTCTGGAGAAAATAAGCGACACGAAACGCTTCGCTTTTATTTTATTATTTATTCAGAACTTTCGTCACTTCTCAAATGACGCGATATCTCGAAAGAGAGAACGATTGAAGAAAATTTCAATGTCTGTTGGATAAATGTTGTTGCTTGAGATGAACACGTGGGGACTGATGCTATAATCAGAGGGTATATACTTATTATCTTTGAAGTTGTCGAAATTTACGAAGCGAAGAGCGACGCGGAAACGACTGTTCAAAGTAGAAAACGTTTATAAATTTATTTATTTTTTTAATTAAAACGACCCCTTACATTCCTTCTCTCCCAGATCGGAAGAGCACACGTCTTATCCCCTGTGTGCCTTGTCGACTCGAGAATATTTTTCACGTTTTTCACAGTTCACGTTTTACGCGCATCGATCCGCCTAGCTATAAAAAATGCGACCTACTAACGCGCGCCGTTCGAAAGGTAGAAAAAGTCGCCGCTACGATCATCGGGGCCTTATGCTAAAAATCACTGCCCATATATGGGCCCCTCTCTCATCGAGCGAGCGAGCGCGCCGCGGCGTTCAAAGCCGAGTTATCGCTTCTGTCCACCGCGAAAGAGTTTCTACTTATAAAGACGCGGAGACCATACATGGGCGAAAAAGTCGATTGCACGCGTTCACACCGCTCGTTCACTTGCTCCTCCTTTCGCGCGTTCGGCGGGCCTTGAACAGCGGGATTCAGGGCTTCGATAACGTTCGGGACGAAGGTCTCTTTTATTTGCTTTCCGCCAGAATTCGGAGATTTAATTGTCAGGTGCTTCTCGACGGCCGCAATTAGCACGGATGATTGGGAGCACAGACTTCTATAGAAATGTGCATACCTGACGATTAATTAAATCTCCGAATTCTGGCGGATTGGAATAAGCGACTGCACAACCTTGCCTACGGATTTTTTATGTCATCCTCGATTTAACGATGCATGATGACACGAAAAAATGTGATTTGAAAATATTATGAATATTTAAACGTAGGAAAACATATAATATTAAAATATACAATAAAACGAAAAATAACGACATGATAAAAATGTGAATTTTTCTTCTTTTTAAGCACACATTATTTTTCATTACTTTTGATTCTAGTCTCTTAAAGCTTATTAAATTTGTTGCACAGTTTTAAGTGAAAATCCTACAATTAAAAAGAAAATTAGTACAAATGTACAGGAGACTTAAAACATAAGTAATGCAACTAAAATAAAATATACGAAATCAGTATTTCGTATATCAGATTTTACTAAAGAAATTTAAAAATATTTTATTTTACCTTTCAATCCTAATAAAAATTAATCTATTTATAACATAATTATAAAACTAAAAAGGAATAAATGTATCGGACGCGTATACATATATATATATATATATATACACATGCAGAAGCAATTAATAACGCCGCCAGGTTCAACTATGTGGAATAATGCAATTATCTGTTTATCATTTAACAGTGGCTCGCAAAAACAAATAGTATAATCGCATAATAAATTAATCACATACAATAAAATAACAATAAGCAAACGGAAATCATATACAGTTCATCATTCGAATTAACTGTAAAATAAACTGTGAAGATACAAGACTGAGACTCTAAATAAAAAAAACCTCTATATATCTGCATTCAATATCACTTCAGAATCCAACATTAATCCATATTTAACGTTCATAACTTCTAAATTTATGAACGTTAAATATTTCAATCAATGATTCAAACGATTACACAAATACAATATAGTTATACACATTCCGATCTCGTTTTAACAGAATTGAAATGAGTTTCAAAATTCTAGTAACAATATGACCTTACTTCATGCGTTATAGAATAGCAAAAGTAGCTACTTGTAATCTTCTATTAATCCAATGTATTATTAATAGAAGTGCAAGCGGAAGGTATATGTCACTACAAATAATCGAAGATAAAGTTCAAAAATTATATAACAATACGCAGCATTTTACACGCGTATTTAAACGTATGCAAATACATAAAAATCAAATGCTATATAAAACAATCGATATAACAATATTCACGTGGGATATTCTATTATGAAAAAGTTATATAAACAATTCCCTATCCTCTCCCCCCCCCCCTATTCCAGGATGCGTGAAGTTATTGTTTCTTTACATTAAAACTAGTTTCCAGTCTTAGATAAATATAAGCCAGCGTATCGTCGTACTGATACGATTATGCTTTTACAGAAGTTACCGCTTTTTTCGCCGCCTCGTCCAAATTATTCGCTGTAAGAATGGACAATCCAGATTCGGACAAAACTTTTTTCGCTTCTGCCACATTGGTACCTAAAAAATAAATAAATCTCTAAAAAATACTTAAAATTTATTTATAAATCGTGTCATGAGAACACAAATATAAAACACAAACATACCATAAAATGAAGAAGATGATAATAAAATTATTATAAGAGATAAAGATTATAAGAGAAAGAAATTGTGCACAAACAAAAAATTATTTTTTACTGCTTGTTTTAAAACATATACAAAGAAATTCGCAAAAGTTTCACGCAAACAATTAACGGAAATTAAGAAGTAATTTATAATGTATTAATTATTAATTGAACAATAACAGAACGCTGTACATTATCAGGTTTGAGAATTAATAAATGAAAAAATAAAACGGAGTCTGGAATTAAAAAAAAAGAAAGGAATTGAGAGATCTTACCTTCCAGCCTTATAACAAGCGGTATTTTAAGTCCTAAGTTTCGCGATGCTGCGATAATTCCTTTCGCTATTGTTGCACAATTAACGATGCCTCCAAAAACGTTGACGAGAATGACTTTAACTTTTGGATCTGACAAAAAGAAAACAAAAATTTAGTTATTTACATATTTTATGTTTGCATTAAAATCGTTCTCTATTAACGTTACGTACCTTCACTGAGGATTCTAAACGCCTGGAAGACTTGGTCCTCTTTCACACTACCGCCAACATCCAAGAAATTAGCTGGCGATCCTCCATTCAACTTGATAATATCCATTGTAGCCATGGCTAGGCCAGCTCCATTCACTACACGTGCAAATGTAAGAACTCATTCTTCATTTGTACACTAACAAACCTTCATATCATTCGTATGGATGTAATCAAGTTCTGAGAAATTGCTGTGGCATTTTTTGACGCGAAAAGTGAGCAACGCAATCGCGCTGCGTGGCATTCGAATGACTTAATTTACGTGTCGCAAAAAGAAAAAAAATTAAAACAAAATGCACTTTACCTAAACATCCTATGTTACCGTCCATACCGATGTAATTCAAGTTAAATCGCGACGCGTCCACCTCTCTGGGATCTTTTTCGCTGACGTCTTCCAAGGAGAACAGGTCCTGCTGTCGGAATTGGGCATTATCGTCGAACGCGATTTTCGCGTCCACCGCTACCACTTGCTTGTCCGTCGTCTCCACCAATGGATTTATCTCGACTTGCAGCGCGTCAATGTCCACAAATAATTTCCACAGGTTTTTCAACTCGTACACGGCCTTGTCGAGAATATCCGGGGCGGAGAATCCCAGGAAAACGGACACGTCCCTCGCTATCTCGTCGTCGATCCCGTGATAAATGTCCAACGGGACGGTCTTGATCTGTTCGGGATGCTTCTCGGCGACCGCCTCGATGTCCATGCCACCCGCCGGCGACGCTATCAGCACCGGGCCGTTGTGCTGGCGGTCCATGAGAATGCAGACGTAGGTCTCGCGCGCGATGTCCACCGACTCGGCTATCATAATTTTCTGCACCAGTATGCCGTCCTCCGAGGTCTGCTTCGTGATGAGACGATGACCTAACATACTCTTCACGTAATTTGCAACAGCATTACGGCTATTAAAAGAGAAAGAAAAGGAGAACTAAAATAAATTATAAAATTATAAAAGTACTGTTTAAAAAAATGCATAAATTACAAATATATTTTTTAATAGGAGAACACAGAAGAGAATAAGAAATGTCAAACGAAATGTTTCGAACTAAAGGTTAACCGCTTGTGAAGTGTATTTTTTCCAAAACAAAGAAATTAATTAAATTAAATTATATTATATTAATTAAATTATATATCAATACTTACTCTCTGGTGAGATGTACACCTCCCTTGAATCCATTGTCGAACCGGCCTTTACCACGACCACCGGCCAAGACCTGGGCCTTAATAACAAACTCGTCAGCGTCTGCAAGAAATAGAAAGCTGCAAAATACATACAGTTATGTCGGCTCCTACGCAAATTACAGACGACTGTGCCAACGCACATATGCTTCTTGTTAATCTACCTAATTTTCATAAATTCAGCATATTGTAGCAATTTCAAACAAATAAAGTAATATATATATATTTTTTTTACTTATTACATAAAAATTGTAATAATAATAAAAGACTAGTAATCGATTAAATACGCCATCGAGTTTACTATCGTCTCAAAACGACGCGATGTTGCGTCAAAAAGTATTGAATAATCTCAATTATCGCGGGACAAAATGCCGCAGTTTTAATCGACGTCGATTACAAAAGCGTGTAAAACATATAATACTCTGTGCATCGCGAGCTCGAGAACACAAATGTACACGTATACAGAGATAATTGGAGAAATATATACACCGCGGGGACACTCACGTAGCTTCTCCAAGGCGGAGCTCGTCTGGGTTAGGTCGGCGACGATCGCGAAGTTCTGCACCGACACGCCGGAGTCCCGCAGCAGCTCCTTGCTCTGGTACTCCAGCAGATTCAGATGCCTCGCACTCGTCGCGCAAGCGATCTTCGTGCTCCTCCCGAGGAGCTGCGCCGAGCGCATTGTACGACCGAGCACTCGCAGCATGGTTAACCTCCGAAAGTTTCGAACGAGAGAAGAAAAAAAATAAAAGACTACAGTTCCCTCTCGCTCTCGCGAATCACGACCGGCGCCGGCGATTTAGGCGACTAATCTCCCCTCGCATTGAGCGTTCGCAATCGTTATCTCATTCCTAATGTCTCGACGAGATAATTACCGGCTATCGGCTGAACTTGGTCTGTTGCGCGTGACCACGAGTTGACGAGGGCTCGAATGCAAATAAAGAGAAATAAAGAAACGCGTATCCCACGTGGATCGCGGCGGGCAATATGAACGCGGTATGAAAGACATTCTTTTCCTCCTCAGCGTCAATGAGAGACAAAGAGAGATATTTCTATAAAAGGATATTTCTATTAAAGATCTTGAATAAACTTTCGTGACTGTCAATAAAGACCGGCCGATAATTGAAGAGAATCGATTGTGCTAATTTCTTAACTGCCAACATAAATCTGAAAAAAATAACTTTCAATGCAACATTAAATTCGTGAATTATAATCCATAAATAAACAGGCATATTAATAATATCAGACAGAATACCAGATATCAGATATAATGCGGAATTACATGTATATTCGAAGAGTATATTGAAAAGGATACAAATAATTGGAAATATGTAGGCATGTTACAAAAAGGTAGAGAACAATGTTACAATTTTAAAAAATGTATATATTATATACGATGCGTATATATATCTGCGATACAATGCATATGCAGTAATGCATAAAAAAAAAAGAGAAAATATGAAATTGAAGAGATTGGTATTGCTACTGGGTGCTCTACTACTTCAAATTGCCTCTAATTAAGCAACCGATATCGATAATCGGCAATGAGAGCAATTTCATCATTATTTGCATTGTGCATAAACTAATGCTATTTAAACACAATATAAATAATGAACACATTTAAATTTCGTTGTATACTATAATATAAAAAAAAAACATATCAAAACATATACGATCCTTATATATAAATATAGATAATACAGTAGTCAAATAATATCTGAAATACTTATTTATACTTTATAGGCAAACACTTGGTGAACACTATTATGGTTTATATAAACTTTTCTCATGTACCATCGTTGAACTATTCTAATAACTGTCATATTTTTTTTACATATTTTTGGATCAAATAAGTACACATACACAAATTTATGAGAATAATTAATATAAAAAAAATATGTGAATGGAATTTTGTAAGCTATATTAATGTTATAATTAATAATACAATCAATATTAGCCAATAACATTCAAATCAGTATTAACTAAAATTTTAATATATAACTCACAGTATTAGAATAATTCAAAGATTAACAAATATTGTCAAAATTAGCCAAGTGTTCAATATCGACTTCTGTATGTATGGACGGAAAATGACGTTGCTTTTTACATCAGCACGTTATATAATGCTTTATGCGTTATATAATTCGTTATTAGTTGTCATAAATTCTTAATCGTTATTAGTAAAGTGTAGTATATTAATATATATTCATTAACGTTGAATATATATATAATTTTTTTGCGAGTTAATCCCTTTACATCTTCCTATTCAAAATTTACAACCTGGCATTAGATCAAATGGCATCTATATGTATATCTCTAGCATGCATATTCTCGTTATCTTAGATTGTGTTTACAAAGCATAGCAGCATAGCATTTGTTATCAATGTGCTCTTGTTTTTAACAAGTAGACTGCCTTATATAGTACAGTTTGTACATTGTAACGTGAACATGTTCACATATCTTTCATAATCTGTTGATATAATATTTATCTGTGTAGAAATTTAAATCCATCTCTGTATTTTCAAGTTAATTTTACGTATTATTCAACGTGTATATTCCAAATTATTTTGCTTATCTCGAAAATATACCATGGATTGAGGTAGAATATTATTCTAAAGTTAAACGAAATAGAGACTTGATAATTTTACAAACGAAAAACGGGCGTCACACACACACATTTGAAGTTACAGGATCTACGAATTTTATAAGAATAAAAAAGTACGTGTATAAATATATATAAATATATATAAAAATTTTGCACATGTTATTTGGTACTTTGTGTATGTATATGTACATACATACATAATCATATGATAAAAAATAATATATTGCTCGTGAGAGTTTAAAGCATCGTTAGTACGTATACCGAAAAAAATGTATATTATAGATAAACAGAGTATTCTTTCTAGCATATAGAATAAAAATTATACTGAACTCACTGTGTATTACTCTGCGCGTTTTATTTAGGTCAAATGCAGATCGGTTTCAGTCTCCTCATGTAATACCATGATTCTTCTTTAAAAAATAATCGTGGAAGTACTTAAGTGCTGAGAGTCATTGCTGTTAAAATGCTAAAAACAGAAGCGATTACGTCGTTAAGTAGCACTAATGACGTAGCGATTTAATATTTAGCCCGTCAAAGACGTTAATCCAACTGAGATTCATCGGGTTACACCTAATATCTCGTTAAATCTCATTCAACATTTGTTTTAGTCTCCGTTAAATCCTTTAGCTTTTCCGCTCAAGAGAACTGTACGAAATTAGGGTCGTTAATCATTATAGCCTTCGGTTACTAGTGACTATTTTACACTATACATAATTGTAGATTCGTAAAAGCAACAAGAATACTATTCCCAGAGCGACGTCCGAGAACTTGATTCTCCCAGCGTCGCTCCTAAAGGCTGCGGCATCGCCCATTTGGAATGTATGAGTGGGGCTCGACATCCGGCCGTCGCCGCCGTTGCTGAATGCGAGCACTCTCAGGCGATACGTCTTGCCTGGGCTCAGGTTCTTGATGTCGGCCTCCAGCTTGGCGCCGCCTGGCACGATCGTGTCGTTCGCCGTGCTCATGTCCTGATCAAACTCCCATACGCGTATCTTGTATCCGATCAGCGGCTCTTCCTCCAGGCTCGGTTGCACGTAACGCCAGACGACCCTTACCGTCGACGGGTTTACGCCGTACACGTTCACCGAGGACGGCGGTTTCTGCGGTGCTTTGCGATACGTTCGCTCTAGGTACCGCTCGCTCTCCGGACCTTCTCCGGCAGAGTTGTAGGCCATCACCTTTAAGAAATTCGTGGTCCTCATTTAAATCGTTCATTTATAAGTGCGACAGTACATTTTAAATACCTTTCTATATTTATGTATCCTTTAAATAATTAATATTACGTAATAAATATTTCAAAATTAACTTTACAGTTGAATTTTTGCAAGTACTCCTAGTAGTTGTAGGCCATCACCTTTAAGAAATTCGTGGTCCTCATTTAAATCGTTCATTTATAAGTTCGACAGTACATTTTAAATACCTTTCTATATTTATGTATCCTTTAAATAATAAATATTACACGTAATAAATATTTCAAAATTAACTTTACAGTTGAACTTTTTTAAGTATTCTAGTAGTTCATATAAAAATGTGTGTGTGTGTGTGGGGGGGAGGGGGGAGGCGCGCAAATAAAAGACTTTGTATATTTTACCTTCACGTAATAATATGTGTCTGGCTGCAATCCAACGACCAGCGACCAAGGACGAGTGGTGCGTGACAGGTAATAAGTAGCGTCCTCCTCGCGAATACTCTCCTTCCAGTACTTGATCCTGTGGCCGATCAGCTTGCCCCGCACTCGCTCGCGGGTCTGTTCGATCGGCAGCCAGGTGACGTTCAAGCTGGTGCTGTTGTAACTCATGGCGAACGTTTGTTGCGGCGCGACCTGCGGCATGTCCTCCGCGCTGTACACCGTGATGATTTCGGATATCGGGCCCTCGCCCATCACGTTGACCGCTTGCACTTTCACCTCGTACTCCGTGTAGTAATACTGCTGTTGAACCGGCACGACAGCACTGCCGACGTTGCCGTATTCCTTGAGGGATTGAGACTGGAACTCCTTGTCGTGTCCCTTGCGACGCCAGAATATCTTGTAATAGATCTCAGGACCGTTCTGATCGGACGGACTGAGCGGATCCCACGTGATCGTGAGATCTCCAATTTTTCCACCGCCACCGCTGATGTTCGACGGCGCTTTCGTAGGCTTGTCGGACGGAGTGCTGTACTGGGGTGAGGGAGCTGACGGCGGACCGTAGCCGAATTCATTGCAGGCAAGCACGCGGAACTCGTATGTGGTATAAGGATTCAGAACGTTCTCCAGATACGCCTCTTTTCGCCCGTTGTATCTATCCGTTTCAAGAGCCGACGTAATATCTAAAAGCAATCATACACGTGTTAACATAACGTAAGACTATGCAGAGAAAAAGAACATATGTGTGTGTGCGCGTGTGTGTGTGTGTGTGTGTGTGTATGTGTGTGTGTGTGTGTGTATATATATAAAACGAGGAAGTCTCTGAACATTTAGGTTGCGTTTACTTTGACGGTTAAGGTAAATGTACCAGTGACTAAACAATGAACATGTATCTATATCGGAACACGTAAACAAAAACTTATTTTTAAATGCTTTTTTCATAATATTATAATTTAATTGTAATCTTTAAATATTTTTAATTAAATTTTAATTATAATAAATATTATAACAAAAAAAGTATTTGAGATTAATAAATTTTGTGTACGTGTTCCAATATAGATACACGTTCAGTCATTGATACGTTTACTTTACAGCGCTCATACAATCATTTCATCCTAGTTGTTTATCGAATGCTAAACAAGAACGAATGATGCTTGTAAGCACCAAACCGAACGCAGCCTTAATTTGATGTCGCGAGCATATTAAAGAAATCGCAATTAACAAGTATTAATTGCCAAAATTATAACTAGAAATCACACGATTACGAAAGACCAAGCTTACTTTCTACAAGAGGAAACCATGTGCTGTTCCAATTCGTTCGCGCACTGATCGTGTACATGAATACCGGTCTGCCGTTCAAGGCACCGTCGGTCCACCGTAACGTGGCTGAGGTTCTGACTATGTTCACCACCTGCACTCCGCCGGGTGGCCCCGGTGGTCCCTGCACGATCAGATTAAGCTTGCTCGATATCTCGCCGACGGCGCTTCTCAAGATACACTCGTAGTCGCCGGCCTCAGCGAATGTGACATTTATAATATCCAAATATTCGCCACCGATGCGCAATCGCGGATTGTTCTCCAAATCCTTAGTACGGATACGCATACCGTTATGCGTCCAGATATACGCCACATCCAACATTTCGTCCACGTGCGCCACGCAGCGCAACGTCAGATTATTATTATAGTACAGAAGTATCTGTGGCGGCAGTCTCTGAATAAATTGTGGTCCACCTACATAAACAATTATTTATAAAATTACTGAATTAATTGTTATCTAGAAAAGCCAAATTTTTACGATATGATTTTGCATATAATATCTTCTAGTAAATTCAGGATCTCCCAGAGTATCAAACGATTGACTTACGTAGCACGATCAGTCGTCCACGAGTTTCATCGCTGCCATACTGATTCGTCGCTGTGCACACGTACGTTCCCTCGTCGTCTCGCGACACCGGGCTGATGATGAGATTGCCAGTCTCTAGAATTCTTCGCCTGCCGCCCGATCCGATTACGTTCCCATCTTTCTTCCACACGAATTTCGGCCTGGGTGCGGCCTCGGGCTTGCACACGATCGTGACGTTACCTCCTTCCGCCGCGTACGTCTCGGATTCCATCGGCCGTTTCTTGAAGGACGGTTTCAACGCTGAAACATCAAAGAGATATTACATAATAATATATTACACAAAATTATATAATAAAATTATATAATAAATTTCATTATAATAATAATATAACGAAAATAACGGATATATTGAAATAGATATAAACTCATACTCACACAGGACTCTAAGTTGAGCCGACGAGTATGTTGTTTTCAGCTGATTCTTCGCGCGGCATTGGTACATAGCCTGATCCCTCTCAGGATCCAGATGTCGTATATTTAGCACATTATCTTGTATAGTATAACGATCCCTATCTTCAGGCGGCAGAGTATAATTGTACAAGAGCTCGCCGTTTCGGAACCAGCTGTAGGTGACGTCCGGTATGCCGAACGCCTCACAGGTCCAAGTTAAATCCCCCCGGTTATCCATATGCTTGTCGATCAACGGGATCGTGAAATTAGGCGCCGCTTGTATGGTCAATCGCACGGAGTTCTCGATGGACAGTCTGTCGTTGTACGCGCGGCATATATATTCGCCTTGATCCTCCACGTGTACGCGAGGTATTATCAATACCCGATTGTAATTTGTCGTGTACGCTCCACGCGGAAGAATGGAATACCTTCTCGTCCAATTGTACGAGGGAACGGGGCTGCGGAAATAAATCATTTATTATGATCTATATATGTAAAAGAGCACGTGCGTGAAGAAAAAAAAACATAAAATGAGGTACCGCGAGTAAACTTACTATCCAAACGCGATGCATTCCAATCTAACTTCTTCTCCGGCCACCGGTGCTTCCGGGAACGCTTTTGGGAAATTATTAGGGAACTTCAACTGCTGGAAGGAGGCTGGAAAAAATTTAGAAAGTTATTACTCCATCATTTTCGGTTCTTATAGCTTAAAAGACAATCCAAAGTAATTACAGTGCATGTCCACCCTCAACGGGAAGAATGGCCCGTTACGTCCGGTGTCGGATGCGACGCTCTGAACGTTGCACGAATAGTTTCCTCGGTCGATCGTTTCCAACGCGGAGAAGTAAAGCGCACCGTCGTGCGAGACGAACACACGTTTATCCTCCTCGACGAAATTGGGGAAGTAGTCGCGCGCCCAATAGTACTTGACACCCGGGAAATGCTGCGGCGGGTCGCAGTAAACTGCTTTGCCCCAATGATTATCTCCGCGTTCCTCGGAACGTTTCAAATTAAACTCCAGAATGTATCCGAACGACAGTTCAACGCTCTCAGAGATAATCGTGCCAAATTTGTTGGTCGCCTTGCAGTGATACGAGCCACGATCTTCCGTCTGTAAATAATAAACAACAAAATCATTGATGTCCATTAATTTATATACTAATTTAATCTAAGTTTTTAAAACAACATATTCGGGGTTGCCACAAAAAATGAATTTTAAAATTTCCCTGACTTTTCCACGATTTCCAGACATCAGTGGAAAATTTTCCATGATCAGTATCAAATATACAATTCTAAATGTTTAATGTTTAGAACATACATATTACGAGAAAGGTAACTTATATTATTAGAAGCAACATAAATTTAGAAGTTTAATAACATAATATAATCCCAATGACATTGTTGCTTTGACATGTAACGTTACTCATTAAACTACAGAAAAAAATTCCTTTGGTATAACTGAATTTTCCACGGAGATTTTGCTTGGGGACCACACAAAAACTCAGTGGTAAAAGCAAAAAGATTCCTATAGACATTTTTTTAATATCGTTAAATATTCAAAATATTTTCGATTGCGATAACAGAGAGATAAGTCTCGAACAAAATCGTAATTTTCGAAAATTTTTTCGATCTTCATACAAAATCATTTCATTCTGTTATTGTCTATTGTTTAATTGCGGAAAAGGATTTTCAAATCAGAAAAAGCAATACATAAACATTATACAAAAATTTTTGGGTTTCGTCGATAAAACAAATGATTCCTTTAAGGAAAGTGCGAGCAAAGTTAAAAATTCCAGGCTCTTTCATATCTTTCCCTGACCAGTTTAAATTTCCCCACTTTTCCTGGGTTTCCAGGTCTGTGGCAACCCCGAGATTTGAAGAAACCAAATTTTCAAATCGGAAAAAGCAATACATATAAAAACATTGTACAAAAATTATTGAGTTTCGTCGATAAAACAAATGATCCCTTTAAGGAAATTGCGAGCAAAGTTCAAAATTCCAGACTCTTTCATATCTTTCCCTAACTTTTCCCGGGTTTTCCAGGTCTGTGGCAATCCCGATATCTGAAGAAGAGACCGAAGAGACAAATCCTTACCTGTTCCGGCTCGTAGATGATCAACGTTCCGCCGCTCACGGTATACCGGCTGTTCGTAAGGGGATCAATTTTCCTCGCGACAAGTCGATCGTTCTCGTAGTCCTCCTTGAACCATTCGTAAGTGGGAGTGGGATAGCCGCCCGCCAAACAGCTCAACGAGACGTCGTTGTTCGTTCGTCTCTTCGACACGTCGAACACCTTGTTCACGGGCTGCTTTATGAAGTACGGGCCCCTGGGTATCTGAAGGGGATTGTCGATGTCGACTCCGTACTGGTAGGTGCGATCGTCGTCCACGAGGTTGTGAAGAGTGGCGAGGGGCGCCTCGCAGATGTACAGCAGCTCGTCCCGGCCGGTGACCTTCTCCAGCCCCCAGCGCTGGAGATTGTCGGAGTAGGCGTACGCCAGGTAATCCCTGCCGAACACGCCGTCGTTGGGCTCGGGCAGGAAGGCGTTGTCCATGTTTATCATCGTCGTGCCGTCGGCGTCGTTTATCCACAGGCCGCCCTGGAGCTTCACGCCGGTGTACCACCGGCGATGCTGCGGATCCTGCCACAGCAGCTGATAGAGAATGAACCCGTGCTCCTCCATCGAGTTGATGGCGAGCAGGTCGCTCTGGAAGGCCTGGCAATTACGGCGGGCGTCCTCCCGCGGCCGCAGCGGGCTCTTGATGAAGCGGTAGCACGAGTCCTGGAATCGCGTCCAGTGCTGGGGACACTCGTAGAACTGCTGCTCGCCGAAACGGATGTTTTGCGCGAGCGCGGGAAGCGAGAGGATCAGCGCGAACGCCGCGGTGGCTAATAAACGCGACATCATTCCGGGCTTATCTTCGAACTTATGCGACAGTAACAACGACAGGCATCTTACGATTTTCAATTTAAAAGAAAAAAAAAAAAAGTTACAGTATTACTCCTATTAATCGCGATCGGGAGTGTCGCAACATTGAAGAAACGCGACTGCGCTGCAGGTGCAACGGAACCGACAGAGAAACGGAGCTCGTGAGAGACACTCCCTGACGATGACCACCTCCAACGTTAATTGGTGACGTCTCGTCCACGCGCGTTTCGATAAAACTCGAGCGAGAAAACCGTTCGCCGTGAACGTGGATATCGAGCTTACTTAAAACGGCGAATCTTATACGACGAGTAAAGGGCCCTCGAGGAGAGATGAAACTAAAAAAAATATGTTAAACAAAAGCACGAGCATTTAAGCCACAAAAACGCGACCGAACGCGACGCTACATCGCTTATGAGACACAGACAGACACTCCCTGTGACGAACAGCGACGGAACTCGACGAATGCCGACGAATGCGGACGATTGTCCAGGTTGGTCCCTCGCGATTGCACCTCGCCGCTGCACTTGTCGCACTTCAAAGTGAAAACAGCCGAAGGACTTGCCACCTCCGATTTGTAGATGGAGCCACCTTGACGTGTTTTAAATCGACCCGCGATCGCCGCTCTATATAGCGTGTCCATGATGGTGACTCGCAAAACCTCCTGAATGTTCGTCGTAACCTCAAATCTGAGACTGACCGATTGAGAAAAGGAAGGTGTTTGTTTCGCATATCCGTGCATAAACTGAGTGAATAAAATGCCGGAGAGCACGAAAGCGGAGACCAAACCGGTCAAAGAGGTGAAGAACGGCAAGGAGGACGATAAGAATGAACTGGTGAGAAATTAACCTGCACCCAGAGACACTCGTCGCGCTGTCATCGAGGGAGATTTTTGTTTCGTCGATTAAATCCGCAATTTGCAATTCTTGCGCGTCAGTATGTAAATAAAACCGTCGAGTCCGAGGCTCTTGGTGATTTATATTGAATTTTAGCGGTCCCGTAATTGTTGCACAGTCTGCTGCCTTTGCAGTTTCTTTTGTTTTCGTTTTCCAACAATGGGCCGTGTTCTGACGAGTGAATTCTTTGAGATATCAAAATTGAATAATGATTATCAAGATGAATGTATGACGCAGTAAGTTTTTCGCTTATTCGCGTCTTACTGTTAAATTGCAGATCAATTTAATTGCGATCTCACTTTTCCAGCTTTGTCAGTTTATTATTGCGTTGCGCATCCAATATTTATTTATTTAGCACGATTTAAATAGCTGAAAAATGAATTGAAATAGAATTGTAGACATCACATAAAAATGTTATTTAGGCATCAAGATTCAGCGATTTAATTTGAGGAACGTCAATCGTTGACGCTCTCAAATTGAATTACATTATTCATTTACGCGGTCCAATATTCGACTTACTGTTGATCATTATAAATATATTTAATTATGACAATAATACATTTTAATGTTTAGAGAAGAAAAATATACAGGGTGTTCATAAAGTATCGGACTCCCCCCCCCCCCTCTATCTTAGAAAATACTAACTGGATTTCCTAAAAGTTTTGTATTTAAAGTTTTTTATCCAGTTAGTATTTTCTAAGATAGAGGGGGGGGGGGTCCGATACTTTATGAACACCCTGTATATTTTTCTTCTCTAAACATTAAGATGTATTATTGTATATACCCTGTATATTGATAGGAAAAATTGATTTTGTCCTTTCAGTCGGAAGAAGATAAGCTTCTACAGGAAGAATTGACTTTGCTCGTGGAGCGCCTGCAGGATGCCAACACCAAACTGCACTATCCTGCCCTGGAATCCTTGCGTTCGCACATTCGTGCGTCGACAACGTCGATGACGAGCGTGCCGAAGCCGTTGAAATTCATGCGACCTCACTACGACACTATGAAGAGCATACACGAGAGCATGACCAATGTCAAATGTAAGGAAATGTGCTCGGACATTATTTCGGTGCTGGCGATGACGATGGGCGAGGGCCGGGAGTGCTTGAAGTATCGGCTGACGGGCTCGGCACTGGCGATCGGCGAATGGGGGCACGAGTACGTCAGGCATTTGTCGGGAGAACTGGCGGGCGAGTGGGACGAGGAGACAAACGACAACGTCGAAGCGACGAACGAGAAGCTGATCGCTCTGGTCCATGAGATCGTACCGTACAACATGGCGCACAATGCGGAAACGGAAGCGTGCGACCTGCTGATGGAGATCGAGAGGCTGGACCTGCTGGAGCAGTACGTCGACGAAAGTGCGTATCAGCGAGTGTGCCTCTATCTCACGAGCTGCGTGTCGTACGTGGCCGATCCGGAGAACAGCACCCTCCTTCACGTCGCCTGCAAGTTGTATCGCAAGTTCGGCCAATATCCGCAAGCGATCAGGCTGGCGATGCAGCTGAACGATTTGCCGCTCATCGAGTCGATCTTCACGAACTGCCGGGATGTGTAAGCATAATTAGCTTTAGATATTTAATAACTTAATTTTCTTTACTAAGAATATATAATGATATTTGATATCTTCCAAGCAGAAGGTTAAAATTCTTATATAAATAATATATAAATAACGATATTTGATATTTTTCAAGCAGAAAGTTAAAATTCCTATGTATGTTTCTTTTTCAGTTCTGTACAAAAGCAACTGGCTTTCATGCTGGGTCGCCAGCAAATCTTCCTGGAGCTACACGAAGCTACGATAGAGGACGACGATCTGTTCGAGATAATGTCCAACTCTCACTTGAACAATCACTTCCTGAACCTGGCGCGTGAACTGGACATAATGGAGCCGAAGACACCTGAGGACGTCTACAAGTCTCACCTGGAGAACTCGCGGCCGCCGTTCGGCGGCGGCCAGGTCGACTCGGCGCGGCAGAATCTCGCGGCGAGCTTCGTCAACGGTTTCGTGAACGCCGCGTTCGGCCACGACAAGCTGCTGATCGAGGACGGCAACAAGTGGCTGTACAAGAACAAGGAGCACGGCATGCTGAGCGCGACCGCGTCCCTCGGTCTGATCCTGCTGTGGGACGTCGACGGCGGCCTGACGCCGATCGACAAGTACCTGTACTCGTCGGAGGACTACATCAAGTCCGGCGCCTTGCTGGCCTGCGGGATCGTCAACTGCGGCGTGAGAAACGAATGCGATCCCGCCCTGGCTCTGCTCTCCGATTACGTGTTGCACAGCAGCAACACCATGCGTATCGGCGCCATTGTCGGCCTCGGCATCGCGTACGCCGGCTCCAACAGGGAGGGCGTGCTGGGTCTGCTGACGCCGGTCCTCAGCGACACCAAGTCGAGCTGGGAAGTGCTGGGTATGACCGGCCTAGCACTGGGAATGGTCGCCGCCGGTTCCTGCAACGCCTACGTCACCACGGCGATTATGCACACGCTGATGGACAAGTCGGAATCCGATCTCAAGGACACGTACGCGCGATTCCTGGCGCTCGGTCTCGGGCTGTGCTTCCTGGGCAAGCAGGAGGCGGCGGAAGCGATCATAGCGGCCCTGGAGATCGTTCACGAGCCGTTCAGGTCGATGTCGACGACGCTGGTGGAGGTGTGCGCGTACGCCGGCACGGGGAACGTCCTCAAGATCCAGCACCTGCTGCACATCTGCTCGGAGCACTACGAGACGAGTAACGAGAAGGAGGAGAAGAGCGATCGTAAAGACAAGGACAAGAAGGAGGAGAAGAAGGAGGAAAAGGAGAAGGATCTCAGCTCCAGGCAGGCCATCGCCGTCCTTGGCATCGCCCTGATCGCCATGGGGGAGGAGATTGGCGCCGAGATGGCTTACAGGACCTTCGGCCACCTGCTGCGCTACTGCGAGCCCGTGATCCGCCGCTCGGTGCCGCTCGCCCTGGGCCTCATCTCGGTGTCGAATCCGAAGCTGAACATCCTGGACACGCTGTCCAAGTTTTCGCACGACAGCGACCCCGAAGTGGCGCACAACGCGATATTCGCTATGGGGCTGGTCGGCGCCGGTACGAATAATGCGCGTTTGGCCGCCATGTTGAGACAGCTGGCTCAGTTCCACGCGAAGGATCCCAACAATCTCTTCATGGTGCGCATCGCACAAGGCTTGACGCATCTGGGTAAAGGCACGCTCACCCTATCGCCTTATCACAGCGACAGACAGCTGCTCAGTCCCGTTGCTCTGGCCGGTCTTCTGTCGACGCTGATCGGTTTCTTGGACGTGAAAAACAGTGAGTATATTTTTTTTTCACGTAATAAATACATATAAAAATACGCTCTTCGATATTTGCATTTCAAGCTTACTCGCAAGCAGATAAGCTGTACTTTTATGATCGCAACAAGTTCCTTTGATAGCAAATTTGTACAGTATGATCATCTTACGCAATAAAGAATTTTATTTTCTTATTGCTCTACAATTGATCAATCGGTGATTCTTTAGATCCTTAGATTTTTAAACCGTATAAAAAAATCCATAGTGTCAAGTATGACTTCTCTACAATTGATCAATCAGCGATTCTTTAGATTCTTAAATTTTTAGATCATATAAAAAAAATTCGTAGCGTCAAGTATGACCTTTCACTAACGTTGTAATGTACTTTCAGTTATTCTCGGACGTTCACACTACCTCTTGTACACCCTGGCTGCTGCGATGCAACCCAGGATGTTGGTGACATTCGACGAGGATCAAAATCCACTGGCCGTACCGGTGAGAGTCGGACTCGCCGTCGACGTCGTCGGCCAAGCGGGCAAACCGAAGACCATCACAGGCTTCCAAACGCACACCACACCGGTGCTGTTGGCGTACGGCGAGAGAGCGGAACTCGCTACCGAGGAGTACGTGCCACTGACACCGATCATGGAAGGTTTTGTAATCTTAAGAAAGAATCCGGACTTTATACCTTAGTCATCGTAAAATAATCTTGTCGATCATCAATGTACCTCGTACTGAAACTATAAGAATAATATAATAAAAGTGTCTCATTGTCAATCTTGCGTATGCGGAAAAAACGCACGACATCCTCCATACACACACACACACACACTCACTTCCCTTTTTGTAGGATCAAAAAAAGACCGCGTCCCACAATATTTTCGTTACGTTAGCGCAGAAAGGGATAAAAGGCAATAATATATTTATTTAATAGTAAAATGCAGACTTTAATAAGTAAAAAATACTGGTACAATGTATAAAATCTCGCTCGGCATGATTTTTATACTAAGTACACGTCGTGAGAGAAAAAAAAAAGATCGATATAAAACGGCTATTTCACGCTGCATTCTTAGAGCGAACAGTACATCGGTGGACGTTAGTTTTCTTTTTTTATAAGTACCAGAGTCAGGATGGTGTGTACGCGTGTCTCGCGTAAGTCGTCATCGCCACTGTCGGCGTAATTCAAGCCTGCACAACTCGCTGAATACAGACAACGCACTTGTCTCTAAAATAGAAGCGTCGCGTACGACGCACGTGGCAGCAAGTGTGTTAAAGAGTATTAATTTGATTGAGTTGTGAGCCGAGTTGCTCGACGGATCGGCCAGTTGTACAGGCCTGATATAAATTACATCCTAATATTTTCTATATTTTGCCGCTATCTTTTTAACTGAAAAAAAAATGTAGAAATGAAAAGAAGTCTATTACGATCATGTTAGTTTGTTAAAATGTACGTACCGCGCGAAACGCGCATAAACGAAAGTGTACTGTATTATGTCAATAAAATACGTTAATCGTAAAAAAAAACTTTTAAATAATACTTTCATAAAAAAGCTTGTACTATAGCTATAACCATTACAATAATGTAACTTTTGTTCTCACATCGCGACCGCATAATTTACCTTCTAACAATGTTTCCGTATAAAAATACACGAATGTTTAAAGAAACATTTAAACATTACGTTTAGATTTTATATCGATGGTCTCGTATCGATAAGGACAATGGAATATGGAAAATTACATACTCTCTCATTGACATATTATTCCAGATTCCTCTTACTTTTCCGATTTCAATATTTTCGTTGCGATGACTTTTTTGCATTGATAAAATTACGGTTATTGTAAGAAAAATACTTAAAACTATTCACATATAAGAAATACAGAATGTAGATATAGTAGAAAGTAACAATAAAAATCGTACACTATAGGTTCTGTATGTACAGCTTTCTAAAATTATTTTGCACAATTTATTAAGTTTCATCGTTTTGGCACTGTTATTTATGTAAAATCATGATAAGTACGCTGTATAGATCTATTAAAAAAAAAAAAAGAAAAGAAAACTGATGTTTCGACATTTCTAAGAATAAGTCATGGAGTTATAACATATATAAACTGCCGGCAGTCTTATACCATAAAAAGATTTCAAAAAACAAAAAATAAATTTTTCAATGTCTTTGTCTCTTATGTTATCAACCATTAATAGAATCTTTACCTTATATGATTCAACCGCGGACCGGTGATGGCAGTATTTCAGACAATAAGTTAAAATTCACTTGTCCAAACAGGAAGTTGCCATTACTAGCATAAATATTTCATATATCATTAGTTTTCTTAATAATAACAACTATAAAATTTAAATCTCTTGATTTAAACACAAGATGTAGCATAATATGTCAATTGCTTTCGAGATGAGGTTCTCACCTCTTATGTTACATCCTATGTAATTACGAATATATAGCACCTATCCGAATACACTAAAATGTCTAACTTTGTCACATAAAGATATTACTTGGCAAGTCGTAATATTGCTCGTCTAAAATAATATACTTCGATACTTTTACATTTCTAGATCGCTCGATCTATACAATCCGAATTACACAGGTAATTCGCTACTATTTTATCTACTTGTAAAATCGTACTTTAAGTTTCTCGCTGAATATAGCAGCCGTTTAAATTATTTCGTATATAAAACTGGCATATCGTTTTTAGAACTTTTTTTTTTAGAAGACTTTTAATACTCTGTCAAACGTTCTTTAGCACTTGTGTGGAAGGCCTTAGTATTGACATACAGTTTGTAGAAGTTGCGTATGTTTTCAAGCATAATAAAAGATTTATGCTTTTTGTCTCTCGATGATAATAATAATAATATGAACAGTCTTGTGGTAATACAACAGTGTCTTTCGCATCGAAAATCGCAAATAAAATAAATCATCACGTGCATTAAATGGTTTACTTACCGTTTAATTCTTTATGTCCTGAGATATCTGCGAAGAAAATAGCAATCGTGATGATTTCTTACGGCAATCTTTCGAGGAAATTACGTTTGTCTTATCTTTTTAAGTAAATGGCAGTGAAGTCGGTCAGCAGTAATTCGTTTCCATATCGCGATGGACGGTCACAGGCGCTAAAACATGATGTGGCGATCCCAAATATGTCGTGGGGGAAGGCATCTCGACGCCGGATTGCTTAGTCAGATCCGACTCGATGCTAGTTTCTACGGCTAACAGGGGCTCGGATGCGAAGGTCTGCTGCTCGGAATCGTCGTGAGGCGTCATCGTGCTGTACCCGTGATCACTGTCCCCACCGGGTGGCCGTCTGTAGTTGGTGGAAACTTTGTACGGCGATATAGGTGCGACGCTGTCTCTCACGAGGCAATCCAAGTTGCTCTTGATCTGGTCCAGTTCCGCGGGCTCCGGATCGCCCTCGATATGCGTCATGCGCAGCGTGTCGGGCGAGGTGTGGAGATGCAAGCACTGATGCTCCAGTTCACCCGAGTTCACCGATCGGAGCCTGTAGCAGAACAGAATGACGCCTAGAATCAGGAACAGCGCGAGAATTCCACCAGCTACCGGCCCGACCGACGGCCACTCTCGTGCCGCGATCTCGTCCGTCGATTGCGAATCTGAAAAAGAAATTAACGAAATTGTGCTTGGTTATTCAACGGTTAATGCAAATAAACAAAAAAAAAAAGACGAACTTACTGTAAGAGCCGTCGCTGTAAGGTATCAGAGATCCGAAGATTCCCTTAAAACACACGGACATGTCGGAGCAAAACGGTTGTTGCAAAGGCGTCTCTCCGTCGGTGTCGACGTGACACCACTGACAATCCGCGACACCCAAACAGTCTCTCTCCGTTGTATACGATTTGCAATTGGCGGACGGGCATGCCTTCAAATTCATCGGCTCTATCCACGGAGCCTGTAAACTCGAGCCTTGCTCGTATATGGGCGGACAAGGATCCAAAACGTCGAGACTTTGTTGCGTACAGCCGAAAGCGTACAAGGAGCATTCGCAAGGGCACTCGCAACCAGTTTGCTCCATACTTTTGCAATTCAGGCACGAGTGATCCATCTGCAACATTTAATAAACAGATATATTGCAATTATGTGGTATACTTAAAAATGCTTTAGGGTAAAGAGTGCAATAAATTGCGAACTCTCACCGTGCTGCACGGACAGAAGGCTCTGAGCAAGTTACACTGAGTCGTCATGTTGACAACGCCAAGGAATACATTGGTACCCGGTACGGCAGCCACCTGGTATCTAACACAGTGCTCGCCGTGTGCTATGTTAGTGAGCACCTCGTCGAGCGACGTGTTGAACTGATAGTACCTCTGCACGGTGCCGTCCAAGTAACTGGCGCACGATTTCTTCTTCACGAACGAGCCGTGATTCAATATGTCGTTGGCCACCAAGAGCTCCTTGTGCGTCAAATGCTGCTGCTCGATCTTGCCTGTCGCTTCCAACAGCTTCGGATGCGACACCAAGTAGCCCTTGTCGTCCATCAGGAAGCACTTTACCGTCGCGTCGTGACAGAATGGAAACATCTCCAGCAATATTCTCATAATGTAACCCATTGTGACGTCCATGGACAGAACGGCGATTGCATAATTTCCGTTAATCCCCGTAGGGTACTTGACAGTTTGACTCAGAGTGACCACATAGCCTGATCCGCCCGCGTCTAAGTAAGGCGGAGTTAGGATTATCCTGTCAGGCTGCTCCAGCGTTTTCCCGTACCACATTCGTCTCTTGGGATCGAAACCTGAATCCAGTACCATTCCTGGAAATATTTCTAATACGCCGCTGACCGTACTGACGACGTATCTAAAATGATAATGAAATAAATGTAAAGATACTATTTTATGAGCCACTGATAATCATAGGTGAAATTATAATTGTTTATAATTACCTTCTTATTATAAACTTATTTAACGGACTCTCGGCGTGCTGCTTTTTGAAATGTTCCAAAACCTGTGCCAGCGTCGCCACGTCTGGTTTTACGGATGGATGTAAGCCGGGATTGGTCAAAAGACCCGTCACATCCTTTATGTACGCCATGTAGCTTTGTACGTTCACGGCTGAACCCGCTTCCAGTAATTTCAGCTGTTCCATCGGAGATTGAAAGCACCATGGTGATAAATAAATTACGCCCGTTGCTAAAAAAAAAAACAAAAAATATAAGTTTTTAAATATTTACAAATCTTACCAACGATAGTAACTGGAGTAAAAGATTTGACATCCTTACATAAAGTTACAATCTTGTTTCTGTAAACGCAGAGCATGTCTTTATCAACGACAGTTTGAAGCATTAGATCGAGGCGATGATGCAATATATTCGCTGGTAGCGGAGGAGTGATCCTCGCGACGGGCAATATTCCCTCCTCGGCCGTCGATACCAGGCATATTATCAAATCATCGTAAATCAAGTGTTTCCATCTATATCGCTTCTATATTGTACATTAAAGGGAAAAAAATTTTATCTCATTACATTTTCATACGACAAACGTTCATCTTCATACGTTATTTTACGTTATTTTTCGGATCTTACCTGCTCGCCTAACTTGGTTTTCACATCCATGGTCCCTTCGATCTCATTTATCATTCTCGTCACTGTCGCACCGTCTATATTTTCAATATCTTGCAAATGCACCTTAAGCGGTAGCTCAACCATTGTCTCGACCCTGGGAAAATTTTTGTGCATCCAAACCACTCCTTTGCTATCGAAGAATATAGCATGTACGTTTGGACCAACGTTAAAGTACGTTATATCATCGAGGAAATCACGCAGCTTTATATCCAAGGATAACAACGCAGTCTCTGTTATTTGCCCGATAGATATTGCCATTGTCTTGCTATATGGTTCAATATACGGGTCTGATACATAAAAATCTTTCTTAGGATAATCAGGGCATTGCAAGCAAGAAAATAGATTTCCTATCTCATATCCAAGAACATTTTGCATTGGAAAAATTATGATACTGTCATTGCTTAGTCTCCTAATAATAGTGGATGCTTGATGGTCTGAAAATAAATTACGATATGAAAATATTTTCCAAACAATTAAAGTAATGAAATTAAGGTAATGAAATTAGCTTACCTGTAACAATAATAGTTTTGAGATAAGCTTTAACCTTTCCCGAAATTACTTCAAAAATTCTTTGCACATTTGATGCATTTTCTAGTAATTTATTAGTTAAATGCATAATAAGCACTTCACCCCTTAGATTTTGTGTTAGTTTTTTAAAATCAATCTTTGTCATTTCATTCGAATCTGAAAGCAAAATCAAAGTGTGAAATCAACAATATACATATTTAAATATAATAGAAATACTGAATAGCTATAACAATTGCTTATTGAATAAAAGAGGGTTTAATTTTCGGTTCTGTATATAAAACTCCTGAGTAAAAAGTATTACTTCACTAACAGAAACCGTAATAAGAATAAAAATTGAGGATGGACTGGAGATAACTGGATTAAAAAGAGTAACAAATATTATTAGAGTCAAAGACTCAAAAATAGGAACGAAATGATTCGTTTCTATAACAATTACCTGTTCTAGTTAAACTGTCGATGTAACGGGTTAATTGAAACTTGTTAATATCTGTCGCCTTTAACAAGCTATCTCTGCAGAGCTGGGGTGCAGTATTAGCAAGGCCCACAATAGTAACGTTATCCGCTTCAGAAAGCATATCTATAATAGTTTTGGCTGTCATTTGAACCAAAGCTAGCTCGGATTCGGACATGAATCTGCCATGTTCCAAAAGTAAAATGACATTCTTTTCAGGACAGTACTGGGATAACAAAAGCGATCCGACGTTGTAAGCCAACGTGGGTGGTCCACACATTGTATCTGGTTCGTTTATCGGCAGTATGTGCATGCTTTTCCACTCTTGACCTTGCAACTGCCTCGTAAGTTCTGCAATCAAATTCAATAATCAATATCACATATTATCCGGATAGAGGCCAAAAAAACACAATCGTTAGATGAAAGAAGACCTTTCGTGACATCGGTGCATATATCTGAAGCTCTGTTCATCTCCATCATATCGTAATCGGCTAATTGACTAGAATAAATAGTGGGGAGCGAGTTGCGTGCCAGTGTGTGGCGTATGACTTCGTGGACCTGCTTGAAAACGTCGACGTGCGACGTCAGCTTGCCGTCGAGCTTCTCGACCAAGGCACTCAGTTTTGCGTCCAGGTTGCCGGAGACATTCGTGAATTCCATCTCGTTGATCATCGCCTGGAACGAGGAGGCGCCGAGCTCCTCGTCGGCGACGGATCGCAGCGTCCTCGACAGGTGCGTCGCGACGTCGCGCAGGCACATGCCGTTCAGCGGCTCGGCCGGCACCTGTTTGCGCATCGGCTTGCCGAACTGGCACCTGGCGGCGACGCCGCCGCCGTCGTCGGCGGCGGCCACGCAGAGACACGCCAGTGCCAACGCCGTGCCCACGCACAAGATCCTGCTGTTTGCAGCCATCCCAGGGAAGTCGCGGCGGCGGCTGCCTCCTCGGCGACGAGCGTCCCTCAACGTAATCATAACCTCACGAATTCGCATCACGACGGTAACAGCACTAACAGCTCGTGCCGGCGATAAACGAGCATTTCAAATCTCAAGCAGCGTCGTCGCCGTCGTCGCGGTGTCGCGCGATCCTGGACGCCGTGCCTCCCGACTCACGCATGACGCGCGTGGATCGCATCAACGCACTCGAGCGTCGTTCCTGTTTCGACACTTCGTACACAATATGGCGTCTAAAAAAAAAAGTATTCCATCGCAACTATTTTTTCTGACGAATATTATAACATAGTGTGATTCCTCATCATCAACATCATCGTGGAAGGCGAGGATAAAGACTTCAAATAAAGATGTACAAATATTACGGCTAGTAACAATGATTAGTGAAATGCATAAAGAGGTTATGGCGAAGAAAAAAAAAAGTTTAAAAATTATATAGAATTTATTACACGAGAAATGAATTCAAGGAACTCAGACGAGACAAGTAATTCGGCATTGCATGTGAAACTCATTAATTTTAACCTATTTTAACTTGTATTAAAAAATTATTGTTTCATGAAGGGACAATTTCTTTTGTCTCAAATGCAATCCCATCTAGATATTCGTATATCACGGACCGATCAAATCTGTGGACAAAATTCCCGTTTTTTTTTTTTAATAAATATACCGATGCGTTCCGAAACGCCTGAAAAAAGTTTTAACCGCAACGGACACGTATTTTGAATTTCTTTCATATATTTATTACATCGAAACATTTCGGCGAGATCTCGGATATTTTTCTTAATTCACATTAAACCAATGTATTCTCTGGCCCTACAATATTAATTCCCGCAGTGTTGTCCGGATAATTTTAACTGCAGCCGGCAAACGACGAAAAGAAAAAAGGAAAAAAAAAAAGACCGCGTCGAACGTCCGGGCGACGCGGGGCTCTCATCTTCGGTTTGCGTAATCGCGGGATGTTTCGGGCCCGTGCACCACCAGCACCAGCGAGAGCCCAACAAAACACCCAATGTGGCGGTTTGCGTTTGGCAGGTTATGGATTGAGGTTTCGGGGTGTGGCATCGTTATTCGGCGGGTCCGCGCGGGACGTTGCGAGACGCGGCAGTAGCGGCGCGACGATGTCGCGTTGAAATTAAGTAGCGCTCGGAGGCGCGCGCGCGCGCGACGATCGGCAAGGTGTCCCTTCGCGGAAATCTCGCTCGCTCCGTGTCTCTCTCTCTCTCTCTCTCTCTCTCTCTCTCTTCTTTTTTTTTCTCCCCTTCGCATCTCTCGCGGACGTGCGAGGATCTCGGTGCGTTACTTCCGCGATTCCGCGGCTTGACGTTTTTTTTCCTCCCCCCTCCCCCGCTCCCGGTGACGCCGTTGACGACGGTGGTGGTGGTTGACAACAGCCGCGAGTGAAAAATCGCGAACGCGGTTGGTGCCCGATCGCGCGAGCTATGCACGGGACGTTTTCGAGCCGTTCCCCGCGTTGACGCGCCGCGCGTCCTACGCGCCGCTCCTCCACGTTCGACACGAGGGTACGGGGACGAGCTGCCGCAGGGAGGCGGGAGGCCACGGTCCATGAGATCACGTGCAACAAACACGACGTGGGATGTTGAGCGCAACCACCCCCACTCAGCCCCACGAGTACACCGAGATGTCTCGGTTAGCCGACTACTTTGTCGTGGTCGGCTACGATCACGAGAAAGAAAGTGAGTTTGTTGTCGAGGGATGCACCTGACGCTCGTCGTTTAGGCTTGCATCCTTCTGTTTCTCTCTCTCTCTCTCTTTGTTTGGTATTTTAAAAGTTCAATTTTATTATATTTTCATCCAAATGATTTTAACTCCAGACGTTGGAGAAAGAGTGACGGGAAAATTAACTTGGTGTAATTATAGAAAATAACAGATACACAGTTTAACCTTCTGCACAGATGCGAGTTCTTGGCCGCTTCGCATGGTCTCATTTGTTGCACCAACATCGCCAAATATATTGTGCATCTGTTTACATGTACGTGTTGCAATTGCAGGGGGTGGTGTGAGTAGCGGAGTTATATTACAACGATTCCCGGAGAAGGACTGGCCGGATACACCTTTCATCGAAGGGATAGAATGGGTAAAAACTATTTCCGAACGACGAGATCTGTCGTAACGTCGATATCGTCGTGTTGCTTATATCGTATATACCGTCTCTTGCAGTTTTGTCAACCGCAAGGATGGGCCTTGTCAACGGAGAGGCAGGAGCCGCGCTTCTTTGTCTCGATATTGACGGATATCGACGCAAATCGGCATTACTGCGCCTGCATGTGCTTCAACGAAACGGTGTCGATCGTGCCAAGCAAACCCGTGGACGAGGAGGAGGATCCCGTGGACGGGGACAGTCGCCCCTTGGTCAGGGCGATACCCGCCATTGCACATCATAGCATTATGTACGCACCCAAATGTCTGGTGCTGGTTTCCAGACTCGATTACATAGAAACGTTTAGAGTATGTGGATATATTCAATTATACATTCAATGACATTAATACCACCAAAACTATGCGTGCCATCAATTTATTAATGACGATTTATTGTCTCTTGTAGAACTGTCTTGGCATTATATACACGGTGTACGTGGAGAATCTTGGTATACCGTTAGAGACGTTAGTCGGAAACATATTAGGATGTATTCAAGTACCTCCCGCTGGTGGGCCGCAGGTGCGATTCAGCATCGGAGCGGGGGATCGTCAGGCGCTGCAACCACCAATTAGTCCTTCTCTTCCTATTACTCACACTAGTGTAAATTTATTATTTCAGCAATTAGGTAAGAATGCGCTTAACGAAGTGCATGCATTCTTTAATGCCGTTGATGCGCGCTTATCAGCTGATTACGTTTGACGTTTGCTTCTAGGTATTCGCAATGTGTTAGTGTTATTTTGTGCAGTCATGACAGAACACAAAATACTTTTCCACTCTGCCAGTTATTCACGACTGACCGAAGGTTGCCGCGCCCTGACAGCGTTGATGTATCCGTTCAGATATTCGCACGTCTACATTCCCCTTTTGCCAGCGGCTTTAGTCGAAATACTCAGCACTCCGACACCGTTCATCATGGGCGTACACAGTTCGTTGAAGCACGAAGTTGCTGAACTTGTAAGGCCAATTTCTCTTTCTATAACATATAACTATGAAGAGAAATCATTTCGATTGCCAATTATTTTTAACGCTTTCACCCACGACCTTCGTGTTTCGCAGATGGATGTAATAGTCGCCGATCTGGACGGTGGTTCCTTAACGGTTCCGGACGGTGTCTCGCTCGCCCTACTGCCGGAGCCGTTGCTCTCGCAAACGCAAGACGCGCTGTCCCTCGTGTTACAGCCGGAATTGGCGTGCGCGGATTACGCGTTTCCTCCGCTCGCCACTCGGGCCCCGCACTCTCCCATGCTCGACAAGGAACTCAGGGCGGTGTTTATGCGAACCTTTGCTCAATTGTTGCAAGGATACCGTAGCTGTCTGACGTTGATACGAATACACCCGAAGCCCGTAATCACCTTTCACAAAGCCGCGTTTCTCGGGGAGAGAGGCCTGACGGATTGCGACTTCACCACGAGAGTTCTGGACTGCATGTTTTTTACGTCTTTCATCGCGGAAAGGGGCCCGCCGTGGAGGCCTTGCGACGTGTGGGACGAGTTGTACAGTAATTTGAGTGACCAGCTGAAGCAGGAGGCGCAGGATCATCGGGTAATCCTGACGCACATCCAGGAGCTGGCGCAACAGTTGTACTTGAACGAGAATCCGAATCCTCAGCCGTACGTGCAGAAGATCCTGAAGCCACCCGATGGCGCGTTCGCGAGGATTCACCAGCCACTCTTGCCACGCATCAATCCGGAGCAGGTCCAAGCGATCATCGACGAGGGTCTCGCGAAGAATAATCTCAAGGTCAGACTGTCGTCCCTGCGGCCGATTCAACCTCGCATCGTGCCCATGGGTCCGCACATCTCGTTCGTTCATGACACAAGACACCTGGTGAGCAACTCTGCTCGCAGACTAGAGGTGTTGCGCAATTGCATCAACTGTATATTCGAGAATAAGATCTCGGACGCTCGCAAGACGTTCCCGGCCGTCTTGCGTGCTCTGAAGAGCAAAGCGGCTCGTTTGGCGCTCTGCATGGAGTTGTCGCAGCACGTCGTCGGGAACAAGGCCATGCTGGAGCATCAGCAGTTCGATCTGGTGGTGCGTCTGATGAATTGCGCGCTGCAGGACGACTCGTCGATGGACGAGCACGGGGTCGCCGCTGCCCTGCTGCCGCTCGCCACCGCGTTCTGCAGGAAGTTGTGCACCGGCGTGATTCAGTTCGCGTACACCTGCATTCAGGAGCACCCGGTGTGGCAGAATCAACAGTTTTGGGAGGACGCGTTCTATCTGGACGTGCAGAAAGACGTCAAACGCCTGTATCTGCCGGGCGACAATTCGCCACCCAGGCTCATGAACGACGGCATTCTGAGTCCGATCAGCCCTCGGGACGGCAAAGAGTTTCCGTACCGCGATCGCTATTCCATCTATCAGGCTCAGGAACCGTCGGCGTTGGAGATAGCCGCGGATCAGATGCGGATCTGGCTGTCCATCGATCCCGAGAAGCAGAAGGAACTGGTGAATAGTGAGGAGAGTACCATGTACAGCCAGGCCATTCATTACGCCAACCGGATGGTCTACTTACTGGTGCCGCTGGACATCGGCTCGAAGACGCATCGCCAGGATCACATCTACGACGAGGAGCGCGCCAGTAACAGCATCACGAACAGCGTGGCGAGCGACAGCGGTGACGCCGAGTCCGGTTTCGAGGAGACCGACCCAGGCGAGACCGGCAGTGCCGTGATTCGGATGGTCTCGCGATTCGTCGATCGCGTGTGCACCGAGGGCGGCGTCAGCGCCGAGCACGTGCGTTGCCTGCATCAGATGGTCCCGGGTGTCGTTCACATGCACATCGAGACGCTCGAGGCGGTCC